GCCTCTTGGTCTTCTGGGTAAGTTCATGTACTAAAATGGAAAGAGATTATATATATAATAAAGTATTGTAAAACCTTATGATTTGCCTATTGAGGCTCCTGAGTTGCCTCAGGATGAGCAGCCTCTGCTGCTGCAGAGGACCTATGGCTACAGGTGCATGAGGTGGTGGAGCACCTCTGAAACCACCAGCCAATGGTGGTGGTGGTGGACCTCCGTCACCACCAGCAACTGGTGGTGGTGGAGGACCTCCAAGACCAATAGCAACTGGTGGTGGTGGAGGACCTCCAAGACCACCAGCAACTGGTGGTGGTGGTGGAAGACCTCCAAGACCACCAGCAACTGGTGGTGGTGGTGGTGGTGGAGGACCTCCAAGACCACCAGCAACTGGTGGTGGTGGTGGTATTGGAGGACCTCCAAGACCACCAGCAACTGGCGGTGGAGGACCTCCATGGCCTGCAGGTGCTGGAACTGGTGGTGGTGGTGGAGGACCTCCATTGCCGCCGGCTACAACCGGTGTGACTGGTGGTGGTGGTGGTGGAGGACCATGACCACCAGCATCATGTCCTGGTGGTGGTGGTGGAGGATCTCCATGACCTCCACTGGCTGCAACTGGTGTTAGTGGTGGTGGAGGACCTCCATGACCATCATCTACAGGTGCAAGAACATCCATATTCCTACAAAAAGAGAAATGAGGTAGCTATAGCTACAAGTTTGCAAACTAACTTTATGCAAAAATATACTTTCCTGCAAAAGAGAGAGAATGAGAGAGTTAGAGGCTGAGAGAGCAAGAGAGGTAAGATATTCCAGAGAGCGGATTTAAATTTGTAATGAGAAAAAAATTAAAGAACTTAAATAGGTTTTGAAATCTCAGTAATGAATAATAATAAGCCTAGTTATGAATAATAATTAATGATTCAAATTTGTAAAATAGAAATTATAAAATTGTTTTTATGGCTCTAATGGCTTTTATTTCAAAAATTCTTTTTTTTCAATAATGAACTGATGAACTTTTAAACCTATAAATGAATGTCAAATTTATTATTATCAATAAAAAGAATTATTAATAATTAAGAAAAATAATTTCATAAAATGTATGGAAACAAGTAAATAAAAAAATTTATATTAAATAAGAAAAAGTAGGGTTGTCAAAAAATAAAAGAAACAAGGGGGTTGAGTTCAACCATAATATTAATTAATAGTTCAATTAATTATAATAAACGTTATTTAATAAAAAATTATTTATTCACAAAAATAATACAAAAATTTCAAACCCTACTTTGCATAGTTCTTATGAAGTGTCCTTTAAAATGACAAATTTTAATGAAAGAATGAAAAAAATGCTTAGTTCCAGCCTACACAAGTGTGGCAAGTCCAATTAAAATTCCTAACAAGAATATGCATAAATATTTTAATGAATCACAAAAATTAAAGATTTTAATAGCCAAATAATTATCAATAATACATATTTTTGAATTGTGATGACAGTAATTTATTCAATCAATAATAGCTGAAGTCATATTTATATTTATCACGATATTAAATTTACATGTAGTAGAGCAATCAATAGGTACAAAGATATAATTATCTATTTATAATGTAGTCTGCCTATTATCATTTTCTGCAAAATAGGGTTTGAAATTTTTGTATTATTTTATAAATTAATTATTTTTTATTAATTAACGTTTATTATTATTAATTGAACTATTAATTATTATTATGGTTGAACTCAAACCCTTTGTTTCTTTTATTTTTTGGCAACCCTACTTTTCCTGATTTAATAGAAATTTTTTATATTTAATTATAGCTAATGAATTGATCACTTTTGTCAGCACCTCCCATTCTTTGATTGTATTAATACAACATCAAAGGACATGGCACATCAGTAGTCATGGATGGTTTGGTATGATCTTTTACTCTTCTAGACACAGTATTTTCTGTATGTCATGGATATGCGGTCGAGGCAAGTGTTACAGTTTTTGTGTCATGCCAACAGCAATGTGTAATATTTGAGTTAGGTTGATGACAGTAGTATCCAACTCCATGAGCACACTTCTCTACATACTGCTTCATTGCAAAACTTCTCTTGGTACTTCCTTTCTGGTAACATTTAAAATACCAGTAGCAACAACTTCATAAGAGAAAAGGTTCTTCAATAATATGGGAATTATGTAGAACTTATCAAAGAAAACTTCATGACCTTGAAACCAATATGTCTGGAGAAGTTTGATGACAACATCATACGCTGAGCCATTGCTTGATAACGTGCCACCTTTTTCTACGTACACATCCAAATCAACTGTGTATCCAGTGACATCAGCTAAAACCCAATATTTGAAGCCCCATTTTGTTGGCTTATTGCATATGTATTGTCAAAATTGTGTCCTTGCCTTACTCTTCGCCATATGCTAGTCAATGTTTAGACTTCGACAAGGCTGATATAAATCATAACACATTGCTTTGATATAGTTGTGAATAGAAAGTATTTTCTTCAATTTACATCCTGATAAACATTCCTCCTTTTCTGGTGTTACAAGATGCAAAAATGTACCTATGAGTTCAAATCTTTTACAAGACAGCAAACTCATATATTGAGCTTTAGTGATGCTTCAAGCAAACCTATGGTTTTGAACTCCATGAATTCCCAATAAAATCAATGCTCTAATGAATCGGAATAGCTCTTCTGTTGTCATTTGATATTTCAAGAATTTGTTGTAAGATGCCATCAACCTGTCCTTTGCAGAGTCTGCATACTTCAGAGTACTATGAAAAATTTGCTGTGTGACGTAGTCATCAAAAAATAGCTGAAAAAAAACATGAAGGGCTAGTCTTGTCAACATTAGAAGGGATGTGTGGCCCAATGTCACAAAGTCGACAAAAATCATCACTAGAGAAAAAACTCACATACGAATGGTCTTTCGTTGTAATTTTGACAAATTCCTGAGGCAATTGAAGATGACCCTGAGACCCAAGACGACTAAGACAATTACCTTGACTGACACCACGATTGGGACCTCTAACTGTACTTTGTTCACAACTCAAAACATGAGAACGCCCACAATTTGGTGTTACATTACTTGACTGCTGACGGATGATGATTCGTCATTACCATCTTCACTAGTCACTGACTCATCAGTTAATGATTCGCTGCTGCTATCATCAGAGTCAAGCTTGTCACTCTCATTTTCAGTACAGTGTTTTACCAGTAGGTTGTGCCTCATCTTGACTTTCATCTGTCTCAATAGAAGCATCTGCAGTTTTTTCATCTTAAAAGAAAGTCTCAGAATCGTTCTCAGACAAAGGAAAGTCTTTTACACCACTCAAAAAATCATTAACATCCTCTGTAGAATACACCTGTTTGCTGGCCATTTTAAAATTCAAAAGAAAATATTTCTCTTCTATTTATCAGTACTATGATGTAATCAGTTAATGATGCAATGCAGTAGAATTAATTTTGAATGTGTTTCAAGAAGGTGACTGAAATACTTTTTAAAAGAAATAATAAGCAATTAAAATCGCCATTTTTCAATAGAGACTGAATCAAAGGTATAATCCTTGCCTTATATAGCATCCTTTTAGTTCAAGCTATTATATGTGGGGCATCCATTTATGATGTCGTAGTTGACGTCATAGCCTTAAAATGGCCCATCTATCTGGGGCCAGTAAAGTAAGTGACCCGAATAAGACTTTTCAGCTAGTATTGATTGAATAAATTACTGTCATCACAATTAAAAAATCTAAATTATGGATAATTATTCGGCTATTGCATTCTTCAATTTTTGTGATTCAGTACAATATCAAAAAATTAGTATGTTCTCTTTATGAATTGTAATTGGACTCGCTCACTTGTGTAGGCTGGAACTAAGCAGTTTGGTTATCATTCTTTCACTAAAACTTGTCATTCTAAAGGAGTAACACTCCTTCATAAAATTCTGCAAAGGAGGGTTTGAAATTCTTGTATTATTTTTATGAATAAATTATTTTTTTATTAATTAACAATTATTATTATTAACTGAACTATTAATTATTATTATTGTTTAAGTCAACCCCCTTGTTTCTTTTATTTATTGACAATTCTACTTTTTCTTATGTAATAGAATGTTTTTTTATTTATTTGAATTGTTTTGCCTTGTTAAACACTCAGTAATATTTGAGCATTTCTATTGTAATTTGAATTTAGGCTAATTTACACTGAAATATAATTGAATTTTTATCGTGATATGTGACCCATAATTGACAAAAGGTACCTTATGGCGGATTTTAAAATTCATCATTAAAATGAAAAATATCATCCTGTGTGTCCTCTGATGGACAAACATTGTTTCTAAAAGTTACATAGGAACTTTTTGCACCCTTTGGAGTAATTTTATGATAAATGAAGCTCAGGAAGTTGGATTTTTTTGGCTATAAAGTCAAATTTCACTACCCGCCATAAGGTACCTTTTGTCAATTATGGTCACATATTGTAATGAAAGTTATCTTTTTACATGTAATTAATAAAAGTTGCAGTTCTTGGTAGACGTATTCCTCCTGCCCCTGCGGCCTCTTGAAGGCCTAGCTGTTGGCAGATTGTTGTACTAAAGTCAAAAAGAGAGGGAGAGGTGATGATACTGGTACTGCAGATTAGATCTATTACTAAATCTTATAATTTGACGGTTAAATACATGTATGTAATACATTAGAACCATAACAGAGAGATAGTGCAATGGGAATAGCGAGAAAGTGTATGCATAAACACAACTAATATCCAACAAGAGGAGCATCAAAATTAGTCAAATACATACAAACTGCATTGATTGGAAAGTGTGTGGTTTCTATCGATGACCTCTTCCTATCACTTGTTCAATACAAATTCTGTATTCAGCAATCTGTCTTATCTTCTCAAGCACTTGCTTTTATGATCCTAAGCGAGGAGGTACATTCAACAAAATTCCTTTAGGAGCCACTACCTCTTGAATATCAAAGCCCCTAACTGCGATAATCATATTTCCTAGTTCACGAAGCTCTTAAAGTCCAGATTGGAAGTAATTTCACAGTCTAATACCCGACCTCCCCATGCTTTAGAAACCTAACTCACTAAACCTGATAGGGTACATCGAATGAGAATTTTCCAAGTATTTCTGCTTTTGTATTGTGAAAATGTAACAGATGAATTGAGTAGGGCTGATGGCCATTGGCACTGCACTTCATAACTATCAATAATTATCCTTGTGTTAGGAAACTTTTGTTTAAATTACCTAGGCATCCAGTCAATCTGCTTTCTTGATGGAAATGGAAACAACTGTCTCAACTTCTTGGATAATTAGCAAATCCATGTTGTAAACTAACGAATATAAGTAGACTTGCATGTTTTGAATCTAAAAGCAGTGTCTTGAGTAAGTAACCCTAATCTCAGACGCATTGGAACAGAAAGAAGCTGATCTTCAACATCAATTCTTGGAAAGCAACTGGCTGTGGTGGAGTAGTTATTTGTCTGGCCACAGTTCCATGGCATCGTTACTGTAGCTTTGGTTTCAAGTAGTCCACTAATGCCCAAAAAGCACCATACGTTTGTAAACTAGTGTAAAATCGCATCTTTTGGTCATTGTTTTCTATGACATAGAAGGAAAAGTCTGCAGATGTAGTTCTTGATGCTAACTTTAGTTCTAACTCTACAATTTTTTGCATCAAATAGTTCCGTATCTCTCTCTCCATCAGTTTGACATTCTGCATAAATAACAAATTATGCATCATTTTTATTTTTGCAATCAAATTTAACATACCAATATCAACGGAAATCATTTCATATGGATCATAGTAACTATAGTCAGCACAGTACCACCATGTTGAGCCACACCTTCCATCACTAATTCATTGAAACAATTGGTATCATGTCACACTGCGGCACAAACTCTGCAATTCCTGTTCCATTCTTTCCAGTCACAATTGCTCCAATAGTACTGCTCTCAATCTTTGTTGAGCTCTTTCCAACCTAGCTACAGAATGAGAAAGCTTTGCACAAGCGCCAGCATTGACCAACTGAACTGAGGCAGAAACAGATGGTACCATATTCTGGATTGTTTGGTATATTAAACTTGGACCCAGAAATGAAATGCTGTGAACAGACGCGATCTCAATTTCCAGGCTCCCAGGGAGTGCTATTGCAAAATTTCTTGGACAGCAATAGAAATCATGACTTGAACAAGTAGAATGTTGATTGTGGCACTCTACCACGCAGCAACTTGTTGGCATCTTGCCTACCAAAATGGCGATATCCGTAATCCCCCATTAATTTCTGTTTCAAATGAAAATGGTCTATAGGTATACATGCATCTGTGTGTTGCATGAATGTCGCATGCAAAAATTTTTAACTGTACAATTCATTAAGAAAGAAGCATATGTACAAGCAAGATAAGCAGAACTCCAGACTGTCAATACATTAAAAAACATAACAAAAACATTTATGCTGAATAAAGAAGTGACTAGTAATTAAGTCACTTTCCTTCAAGTGGAAGGACAGCAATTATTCTGTTTAAAGGCTCCTTTAGAATGCAATTCATTAACCACAAAACTCAATGATTCAACACATGCAGCAAGGAACGGTTTAGAGAGCAGATATACAACCTTTTTTATTGATGTGATTGACTCTGATTATAATTATCAGTCACAACTCCAAAAAATTTTACAACATTGTGCTACAGTTCCATCTAGCTGTAACAATTGTGTACAGTGCTAGCGTAAGCCCTCTATTATCGACCGAATTTCAAACTCCCGCCATAGACCAGACCAGGTTCATTATTTTGACATAGCAATAGGACTGGAGGCAAGAAGGGGTTAATATTTACGAGTCAAAAAAATTTAAAGCCTATTCTTATATTTGTCTTCAAGCGCCAACCATGTGAAAGTAGTAGGTGTGACTTATCGACCATGCCCACCAGTTATCGCCCGTTCTAATAAATGGCCATTTTAATCATCGACTCCTTTTATTTTTGTATTTCTTACCTCCGCAAAAGTACATTACAACAACTGAAAAACAGCCATATAAGAAGAGCTAAGGTAACAAAACAAAGCGTTATAAAATTTCTGCCAAAATTTTTTTCCAAATTATCATTATAGTCATAAGTTAAACTGGAAAAACACAAATGCAAAAAACAAAATATACACAAAAAGGGCACAGTCTTTCTTTCCCATCTTCCTCTCTAACACAAGTAATTACACAATCTTTATGGAGCCAGTGTTCACAGTGGCACTGCACCCATTCTGCTCCCTGTGCTAATTGGACATCATCTTCAAATAACTGAAAACATACACAACATCTGTCAGTGTAAATATCACTATCTATAATCTTAGCTGAAGTCATAGCACTAGCAGTTGCTTTTCTCCTTCATGATCTTTTCTCAGGCATTGCAGAAGTACTGGCTGCTACATTATCCATACTCCTCACTGTACTGCTTCTCTTTCCTGTTGTCTTTTGACTTGTTTTTTTTCTGACAATTTAGCTCTTCCTCAGCCTTTCTCTTTCTCTCTTCCTTCTTTTTCTTCTGCCTTTTGTCTCTTTTTCTCTTCTCTTTCTCTCTTCCTTCTCTCCTTTTCCTCTTCCTTTTTCAACTTTTGTGTTTCTCTTTCTTTAATAATAGACAAACACTCAGTACTTGTCAGTACTCATGCTCCAGTAATTGCATGCATCTTTGACGAATCACTTACATGTAGGTTTTCTCTCTCTTTCTTAGAAGTTGCAAACTCTAAATATTTTTCAAATAATTTTGACGAGAAGGGGTAGTGCTAACAGAATCCGTAGACGATAATGAAGACAAAAACTGGTGATTTTACAACTGGTAAACAAGAGGTCACAGTACATGATGTAGTTGATGAAAGATGTGGACACAATGGGTGGAGAGGAGACAAATGTAATCAGTGACGGAGAAGGGGACATATGACATATACCTAAAATTAGTAATGAAGATGGAAAGGACATAATATTTGTACATGTCACTGTACTGAGTGATGAAGGTGGAGAGGACATAATAGCACCTGTATTGAGAGACAAAGGTGCAGAGGACATATTGGTACAGGTAGCTGTATTGAGTGATAAAGGTGGAGAGGACATAATAGCACCTGTAAGTGCAGAGGACATAATGTTACAGGTAGCTGTAGTGAGTGATAAGGTGGAGAGGACATAATATTTGTACATGTACCTGTACTGAGTGATGAAGGTGAAGAGCACATAATAGCACCTGTATTGAGAGACATAGATGCAGAAGAAATATTGGTACAGGTAGCTGTATTGAGTGATAAAGGTGAAGAGGACATAATATTTGTACATGTACATATGTACCTGTACTGAGTCATGAAAGTGGAGAGGATACATTGAGTGATGATGACATAATAAAATGATGATGAATTAAGTGATACAGGTGTGGACATATTACATGATTGAAGAGGTGCTGACATGCCAGGAGAGGACAGTGGAGGAGAAAAAGAGAGATCAAGTAATTATTTGCTAACCTGATTCACAATTTAGTTCTTCTAGAGGACTAACATCAAGACAACTTAAAATAGAGGCAGATTCTGGAATAAAATCAGGATGGTGCAGTTTTAGCCATAGAACATAGGCCTGATCAGTGAAGATATTATATCCTTCCTTTAATCGTTTGGCATCAAGTGCTTGCTGTTTGGCAGTAAAAGATGAGCCATGAGACTTGTTCACATGATCAGGATTCATTTCATTTGACACATCCAGACTTTCTTGAAAACTGTTGTTGTTTGACCTCACACATGGAATAGCCTCTTTATTTAAATGGGTACACCTCACATTTCTTTAATCCTGCAATGATGTTAGCTGGGGTAAGAGCTTTTAGCCATGCCTGTGCAAAGAGTGCAGAAAAATTTAAAATTGAAATAATAATTCCAGGATTATCTTGAAATTTAGAATGACAGACATCTGACCAATGGTGCTTTAAAGGGCCAAACACAGCAGTATCCAATGGTTGTGAATCTTGTGTTGTATGTGGTGGAAGACAGAACAAAATAATCCATTCCTCTCGAGCAAATTCAATGCTAGATGGCTCATAGTGTGAGTAATGCCCATCCAGCATTAATAACAATGGACGATCTGGTACTGCATTATTCAGAAAATGTTTCTTTAGCCAAAGTTTAAACAATTCTTGATCTCTCTAACCCTAATCACTCATGCCATAAAAAGTACCAGGCACTTCTCCTTCAGTCCATTGGTGATTAAAATAGTTTCTTTCAAAAATAGCCACAGGAGGTAATGCCTGGCCAGTGGCATTTACACATGCGACAATTGTGATTTGGTCTCTCTTCCCTGATAAACGATATCTAGCTTTCTTTTGGCCACTCTTAGCTACTACATTTGGACACCGAGGATCTAGAGGCATACCACTTTCATCCATGTTATATATTTGTCCAGGACTGCTATTTAAATCATTTTTTGTTTGTGTTTCTTCTAAGAGGTCATACTAGTTATGGATTACATCAAAATTTGTTGAATCCATACGTATATGAGCTGTAGCATCTCGTTGACGAAGGAACAACTTCTGTCGATGGTGTTGCATGAACTTATCCCACCAACCATCTAATAACTTCTCACATCTCAACATATTCTTTTCTTTAGCAACTTTCTCAACAAGATTCTTCGCCTGTTTCCTTGTTTTTCCATAGCCAATTTGAGCATTATGTACCAGATAATCAACTAAAATAGTCTCCTCTTCGTCACTCAAGTTACAATTAGGTCCTGGGATAGTGCCATGCTTTATCTTGCCACT